TCCTCAATTCCACAATTTTCCCCTTCAGGTTATCATCCAAATCATTAAAGTTAGACACCCCAGAATTTTCAACCTCAGCCTTAAGTGCCTCAACTTTCTCCTTAACATCTTCGCGATCCATGATCTCACTGAATTTCTTGTTAACTTCCTGCTTCAGTTTTGCAGCCTTCTTGTTCTTCTCTGCAAGGTCATATGCTTTTGATAATTCCTTCAACATGTCAAGTTTATATTTTAGGTCTTCATAATTAGGAGCTGACGACAACCCCTGGTTAAATTCCTCCCTGAGTTTTTCAAGCTTTTCTTTTAGAGCTGGATGCAAGAGTTGGTTCTGTGCATTTACTTTTGAAAATTCCTCACGCAATGTCGCAAACCTGTCTTTCAAGCCTAGGGCTTTAACTGCCTCTGAAAATTCAGTATCCACTTCCTTTCTCAGTTTTTCTATCGTCTCAGTCAGAGGCAACATTGGAGGTTCATTAGAGGATTCTTTGGCTTTCAAAATTTGTTGTTTCACATTTTCAACCTCACCCTCCAAATCCAAAACTGGAGTCTTTACATTAATGGGCTCATCTTTCTTCTTCATGTTCTTTTTCTTCTTTGGATCTATAGGAATTCCTTCTTGAAACCCACCAATGTTCCGGAACTTCATCATGCGATGCTTTAACAGTGCTTCTGTGTCCAACTTGTGAAGCTCCTGAACAAAACAAGAGACATAAATTAGGAAATGACAGTGTAAATTTAGTTTTTGTAGAAGAAAAGGCACTTACATCCATTTCTTTGTTAATTGCATTTCTTATCTGTTCAGAGGTCCATGAGGGATCCGCATGTGCGCCACCAAGCGGCTCCTGTTAAAGGTCAGAAAAAAAAAAATTGAAATTTTAGATGCCACATCAGCAAAACTGAGTAATGACTACAAGAACAACTTTCATAAATCAGACAACCATCTTTCTTGGTATATCATGGGTGAGCTTGGAAGTAGAGGAAAAAACATTAATTTTTAGTAAATGGATCTGCATGTGGTTCCTGTTAAAGGTACGAATAAATATTTTTTATTTTATTTTTATACCACATTAAAACAAGAACTTTCACATAGAAAACAATGACCCCTTCTGACATATCAATGTTTCCAATGACAGTGACGAGTTTGGATAAAGAAACAAAGGAATATTACACATAAAAACAAGAACTTTTTCATAGAAAACAATGACCGCTTCTGACATATCAATGTTTCTAATGACAGTGATGAGTTTGGATAAGGAATATTACAAAATTCAACCCATAGGGTGCTGCAGAATTTTTTGAAATAACAATGTTATCAAGCTCCCATGTTCTTCCTAATAATTGAATGCTTATAAAAAAAAATAAAAAGATAGAAGGAAAAAAAGCTGAAACAAAAGGATTGCGATACATACAGGGATGATGCCATCTGCAATTTGCAGCTTGCACAACTCAGTTGCAGTAATCTTCAGCTTTTCAGCTGCCTGCAGAGATCATGAAGCTTTCAATAGGCTATAATCAACAAACCAATTAAAGACGAGCAATAGAATGTCGTATAAACCTTTGGAGAAGCTTTGGCACTCTTCCACAAGATTGCTGCACATGCTTCTGGACTGAATACAACAAGAACAGAGACAAATCCCAGAGAGAAACAATAAGTTAATTTGATGCTTACATGTAACATAAAAAGAGAAACAAGCCTGGCATTAATCTACTTAAATATAAGACTCGATATTTCGGAACTAATGACCAGAAAAAATGGGATTAATCCAGATATATGGCCTATGGTCCTTCCAGGCAATTGACCCCTTTAGAGTTAAATTTTGCAAAGCCAATATATCTAGTACACCACCACTTGAGAATCATCTTGTCACTCAAAAATGAAGAAAGGAACGAGCACATTTCCATTTTACAACTTCCCTAAGAGATGCAATCAGAGAAAAGCAAAACCCAAATTACCTGGCAACATAGAAAACTGCATTTTCAAGCATTAATAACTTATTAGCACAGCCAATGGCAAGGGCACCACCAGAGCCACCTTCCCCAATGACAATAGAGACAATTGGTACCTTCAGGCCGAACATAGTCCGCAAGTTGTGAGCTATGGCTTCACCCTGGATGTTTGAAACGCAAACAAATTAGATGACCCAGCAGAAAATCTAAAAGAGATTCATGTGAAATTTAAAGTCGAGCTATCACATACTTGGCCCAGTTCCTCTGATTTAAGGTCTGCATATGCACCCGGGGTATCGATGAAAGTAACAATGGGGAACCCATGGTGATCTGCATAGTACATCATGCGCATAGCCTTCCGATAACTGCATGAATATAAGTGTCCAATATTAAGTTTTGGAAGGCATATTAAGTTGGACACAAAAGCTAATCTTATATCTTATTACTATAATGCACAAGTTCATTTGGCATACCCATGGGGAGTAGGCATCCCGAAATTACGCTGAATGTTCTCCTTTGTATTTCTACCTTTCTGGTGACCCATGAACATATATCTTCTACCATCTATAGTTCCTATACCAGTGACAATAGCAGGATCGTCATACCCTGCCCGGTCTCCATGAAGCTCTACAAACTGTACAAGTTAAAAACAAAGAAAAAAGTTACAATGCAATTATTTCCAGCACTTGCAAACCCACTAACTGACTCATTTTTTCCCAAAAAAATAAAAATAAAAATTTAAGGATAGACAATATGCAAAAAATCCATAAGTGAAGTAATGAGTATCAAACCTTATCAGTAATGTTAAAGACATGATCAAGGAAAGTTGGCCTGTTAGGATGTCGTGCAATATTCACACGTTGTATAGGAGTCAGATTCGTATATAAATCCTTTAAAGCCTGAAATCAAAAGATATACATCAACACAAAACTTCAGAACCAGAAACTAGTTTATTTATGTACCAAAATCTGTACATTAGTTACTGATTTTCTAACCCAACAAAAACCAGGCATTTATTCATCAAACCTGGTTGTATTTATTCTCCAAGGAAATAATTTGATCACTGAAGTCCAGCCCAGTTTCATTTGCCATCTTCCGCACCTGTGATCAATAAGTATCTCTTTAAAGTAAAGCCAAAAATCAAGACAAATTCTCAAATAATCAAATACATGTTAAAATCAGCACAGAAGGTTTACATCAATGATCTTCTTTTCGATATCAACGAGCGGCTTCTCGAATGGCAAAGTAACCGGCTTGGGCTTCTCTTTCAGTGGCTTGAAATGGGAGAGATGAGTGAGCACTCCTCCTTTAACATTGGGATCGGGATCCTCAGGCCAAGGGTACTCGTGCTTCTTCACCTTCCTAAGCTTGGCGACAACAGCAAGGTTCCTCCTCATGCCCAATCGTACCTTCCCTAGGGCTCTTAGAGGAACTCCACTGACGCCATTACTGGAACTCCGAAAAAGATCGGAAGCAGAGCTTGTTCCGGTGAACGCCAATGGAGAATGAGATATCGAAGCCATTCACCAAACCTCTCAAAATTATACACTAGCCTCGCCAATCAGATCTCTAATTCTCAAGTACAGCTCCAGAACTTGTGAATCTGGAAAAAACAATCACCAATTAGATTATCAGAGCAATTTTCTAAACTAAGCTTCTAATTAGCTCCCACCCCCCGCCAAAAAAAATCCAAATATAAGCTAAAGCAATCGAACTACTTGAGCTGATTTTCTATGATTCTAAAAGCAAAAGACCAAACTTCTCCCCCCAAATCCCAATCTTTCCTCCATTTCCTAGTAACCAAGCAGAAAAAGAAGAATCCAAAGCAAAGCAAAGCAGAGATTGAACATGCATGAACCAAAAACCTAATTTCAGTGTTCCAATACAGAAGTGAACAGATTCGTTCTCCTAGAGCATGTGAAATGAAATGAGAAATGGTAGAGATGAAATTTTCTCGGGAAAATTTACCGGAAAGCAGTGGAGAGAGGAGGAGCTGAGATCAAGGAGAGAAGGATCTGAGAGGCGCTTTGATAGAGAATGGAGGCGGAGAGAGATGATGTGAGTGTTATTATCGGGCAATGCTAGAAAGACACAGATAAATGGCTAGAGCTGGAGCTTCGTGGAGATCGTCAAGGAGAGCGAGGCAGTTTTGGGGTCTTCTTAAGAGCGAGTGAGTGTTGGGCGATACTTCTTATGACTTTACGAGTTACTACTGAGTTGACTCAGATGAGGGACCTGGCTGAGCCTTTATATCAAGAATTTATAAATAAATAGCCAGCATTTTTCGGTTTGGCCGTTGAATGCGTGGAAATTCAAGACTCGCAAGACAAAGGCATAGGGCTTTTGGTTTCTTCGTCGAGGCACGTGACTGTGTGGCTCTTGCGCACGTGACTTGGGCTCGATGCCTTCGATGTTCCCTCCCCTAGGGCTCCACTCCTCTTATTAAACTAGTTATCTCCTTAATCCAATAATAATTTATGTGAGTGGACGGTACAATGTGGTACATGAATGAATCAAAGCAAAATTGAATCACTCACATGTGAATACATCGTTGATAGTTATTTTGTAATTGTCAATTTTTAACGGATAATGAGTTTGATATTGTAAAATGGCTCAATGCAATAATATTGGTGTATATTGTGCCCGAATGTTTGTAATTTGTTGTGAATTCGATCAATTTTTCACTCAATTGTAAATGAGCGAGGAGGAGTGGCACACCATGGTCCATGGCACCTCCTACCAACCAACCACCTAACCTAACAAGCATAAGAATTTCCACTCCACATTGGACGGCTGGATTGAATTCCTCACCCCTGGTTGTAGAAGTTCCCCCTCTTTAAGCAAAAATCAAATTCTAGACCAGAAAAATAATAATTTCCAAGTAGTTTCGTCCAGCCAGCCCAGTATACAAATTCTCTCCAAGGTTGGGCTGGGCTGACAGGAATGAGTACCCGCGAGTACGAAATTTAAAAGCCTAGGCCCAGCCAAGGCACCGAAACAAATGACAAACGGTCTCATCTCCAACGGCGTCGTTCCCATCGCCACCCAATACGACTGCGTTTTTATTTGCGCGCATTTGCTTTATCCGGTGTTGGCCTCCACATTCAATCCACGGTCGTCGTCCCACAGCAGCTCTTCCATGGCGGACAAACGTTCAAATGGTAATAATCTCACACTTCTCTGCAACTTCGCCGCTCTCACTCCCGTTCTCTGACTATATTCATTCTCATATGCATTGTTTGGTACGGCAGAGACTGTCCTTGAGCAGCTGAAGAATGGAATTGCTCAGTTCGAGCTCGTCTCCTCACCCGTTCTCTCAATTTCATCTTCGAATTCTCAGGCAAACCCAACGGCGTTGTTCGGAGACTACAGCCGCCGGTTCTTTGCTAGAATTGGACCGTCACTGTAAATTTCCTACTGTATTCTTTAAGATTTCACCGATTTTTAATTTTCGTTAATTTTTGTTTGATTTCATAACCCTGAAACCCTAAAGCACGGACCTTTTTGTTGTGGCAGAGGCAGAGGATCATCGGCCACGAAGAAAGTTGAACGCTATTCGGTTCAGAAAGTTACTGGCGATGGACGTTGTCTATTTCGTGCACTGGTATTTGAGAATTGTACATCTAATTTCTGTTCAGACTTAAAAATTAGTGAATTGAGCTCTCTTTCTCTCTCTCTCATACACAGTTTTAAATCTGAATCAGGTCAAAGGAATGGCCTTCAATAAAGGATTTTCTCTTAGCCCAAGGGAGGAGAAAAATGATGCAGGTATGCTGGGTTTGCATAAATGTTCTTATTTGTCAATGTGGATTTCAATAGTGTTTAATTGCTTGAATCATGGAAGGCATGGTTGTATTTCTTTCATTTTATGGTATCTAATTCTGAATGTATCTAAAAATTTGTGGCTTGGATCACTTTCTGTTAAGCATGATGTCATTATGTATAATTTGAGTAGTAATGTGACCAAGAGTCTCATTAGCTCTATTGCACTGGTGTTATAGGTTGGTTTAATGTTTGGTTTTCATAACCTCTGTTTGGATTTTGCATTTCCTTATTACTTTTGGAGGCAATTTAGAATGACTAAATAAATTACTGTGAAAACATAGACGAACTACGGATGGCTGTGAAAGAGATTATATGTGAAGATGAGGAAGAACGCCCCAAGTATGAAGCGGCTCTGGTGGCAATTACTGTTGACGAATCCTTAAAACGGTAGACCTCTACCTTTTTATCAGCGACTGTAGAAGTTCTTTCAGATTTTGGTGTTCAAGTGCTTTAGCATGTCCTTATGATGGAAATCAATCTAATAATACATCTGTATATGTCGTTCCATAGTTACTGCCAGCGCATCACAAGACCTGATTTCTGGGGAGGAGAGTCGGAGCTGCTGGTCAGTACTCTTGAGCCTCTAGTTCAGTTCTAACATTTTGCGACATTTTGTTTCATATCATTAGTACGTATCATCGGATTGTCAACTGTAGATATTACCAATCAATTAGACATGATTTTTGGTTAAGTGGTATCTTAAGTTAAGTAATTATTGTATGGGAAATTTAACCTTTAAGTGGAGGGCTATCGTTTCTCCAGTATGAGATTATCCATATGGCGGCAGGAGTTGGTATTTTAAACCAAGCACACTGCCGAAGAAGATCTTATAATTACTATGGTAATTAGACTGCGAACATGAAATGCTATTTTTAGTCTATTAGAATAGAAAAGAAGCACAGTTTCACATATTTGTTGTTGTAATTCGTTTTCTCACAGTTGTTACTGCTCTTTCTTGAGTGTGTGTGGTTGTGTGACCTATGACCTTCAATACTGCAGGTGCTGTCAAAGTTGTGTGGGCAGCCAATCACTGTTTACATACCAGAGCATGAGGTATATTTTTCACTGAAAAGTCTATCTTTTTTTTATGTCAATGTATCTTCTTTAGTTTGGGAGATACTCAAACCTGATCTAAGAAGAGCTCCAGATTATGGACTTGTCTAGCTGTTAGTGAATCTCCCCTCATTAATTTTTGTTCCACCTAATAAACTAGCATGGAGATTGTTAGAGTTGCACATTTTTCCTAGTTATGTTTTATACTTTCAGTTGTGATCTGTTGGTTGAATTGGTTGCAGCATACAAATGGTGGGAGGAGTTCTGGTTTCATTCCCATTGCAGAATACGGAACCGAGTTTGGTAAAGGTTCTAGAAACAGAAAACCCAGGAAGGTTGTGAGGCTCTTGTACAGTGGCAGCAACCACTATGATCTGCTTGTATGAGGAGAAACATAGAGATAGAGAGAGAGAAGAACCTGGAGATGCATTTTGTTCTTGTATTCAAGAAAGATTTTAGAATTCAATAGAATGGTACTATGGTAGTGTACTTTTGTTGTAATTTTGAAGCATTTTGCTTTTCTTTTATTTTAAAAACCCACTTGCTAATTTTTGTAATTTTTTTCGTCCTTTGCTTTAACTGGATCCATTATCCAACCAAGTACATGTAAGCTGTGAACATTGATATATTTGGTGTGTTTTCTTTTTAACTTGGACTGGCGAAATCTTCCCACTTTGAGTTAAAAAGAAAAAGAAAAAGAAAAAGTAGAAACACAAAGAAACGAACCTTGTCTTCGCGCGTCTTTACACGTGTCCAGCAGTTGCTTGCACGTGGTGACTCATAACATCCCCAGCAAAATAAAAACGTTAAAACCCCATTCCATTTCATAAAATAAATAAATAAAAATAATGAAAAACTAGTATCTTTCGAGACACTTTTTTCCCCTCAAACTCAATCCTCAATCCTTAGCCCCCTCGTCTTCAATCCAACAAGATTCTCAGAATCTAGGGTTTGCTTCTTATTCCTCTTCTCTTCTTCTTCGTCTTCTTGTTTTCTCTGAAATGGAAGGAGCGAGCAATGGAGGGATGTTGTACCACGAGGTACAAGAGTCGAAGCTGTGCGCGGTGCATTGCGTGAACACGGTGTTGCAGGGGCCTTTCTTCTCCGAATTCGATTTGGCGGCACTCGCCTCCGATCTCGATCGCAAGGAGCGGCAGATGATGCTCGTTGAGGGCGGGTCCCACGCCGGCGATTTCCTCTCCGAGGAGTCTCACAACGTCTCCTTGGACGGCGATTTCAGCATTCAGGTTCCAATTCCAATCCCAAAATTTCATTTCATTTCTCAGTCTTTTAGAAAAAAGTTTGGATTTTTCTGTGTGGAACTCTCGCATTGTCTTCATGGTTGTTTTTTTGCTTTCACCATTGACTGCCCTGTAACTAGTGCATAGACTCTTTTTTTTTCTTTTTTCTTTTCTGCGCAAAACCAACTAAATGTGCTTTCTTTATTTTTCGTTTTATTGCTTTCTTGTATGACTAGCAACTCACCATTTTACAGAGTTAGTTTGTAATTTATCGTATGATTCAGTGATATAGAAATCTTTATTACATCGGGTTAATGGGTTTTTGAATTCAACTTTGAGCTAGCTGGAGGAAGAGAAACATACAACTTTTGTTTGTCTAGCATTTTGATTCTCTGTATGTTTACGAATGAGACTCTGTTCTCTTTCACAGAAAGATGATGCTCTGCATTTGGTTTTCCTTGTTATTTCTTGTCTTGAGATTTATATTAGTTATTTCCACTATTCTACTAGGAGAAGAGCACTGTGATTTGGCTCTAAAACAAGATAAGTTTGGTGGATTACTCACTATAAAGAGGACTGTGGTCATTTTATTCTTTTAGTGCCCTCTGAAAAGGGTTTCTGGAATTTCATATTAACTGAAGCCATGCTGAATTGGGCTTGTTGTTGAGGTCGTTTACGGGTGGCAAGTGGCCTTGAACGAATGTTTATAGTAACGGTTAACTAGCACTACCAAAGGACTTGATCCTTGATTAATTATGATGTAGTTGTCTAGTTTCCACGTGTCTGTGTGTGCGTATGCTGTGGTTTTTAATTTGCTTAGTTTGAGAGGCAATGATGACTCATTATTATGCCAGTGTGCCGTACCGGTATTTTAATAAGACCAACTTGGATGCAGGGATTCATACTTGATTATTCACATATGTATGTGTGTATATACATGGGATGTTTTTAATGAGCGGTAAAATAGTTTAGGAAGTAGTTGTCTATAAATGGCGCTGTTGATGTCGTTGCGGTGCTTTGGTGAGTCAAAACCCAAATGTTGATTGAACCTTTGCAAACCTTGGTGCTAAATTATTGGTCGTTCTTGCATAAAAAAGTTGAAGAGTGCTAATCTAACCTACACTATACTTTGCCTCTATATCGACAAAATACTTTTTATTTTTGGTATTATAGAGGACAAAATGCTTTGCCTTGGCCTTTTCGTTGCAATGGGGCTTGATATTAAACAAAATTTTGTTGTACCCTGCGTCTCCAGTCATGAATTTCCTCAAGGGTATCTTGTTAGTTTGCGTGCAATTGCATTGCACGTCAGGTATCAAAGCAAGCTTGTAAACCACTTGGTCCTTTAGTTTTGAATAATGTTTAGACTTTAACAAGTTTTGAATTCACCCATGGAGAGTACAACTTTCCCTAGCCTGAGCAGATTGAGGTTGCCTCACTTGACTTATGGGACTAATTTGAAGTTTTCCCAGAAAATTGATGAAGCAAAAATGTTTTGGGTGTTATGAAGTGGGAAAAGCAAAATGAACTATTAAATTAAGTTCTTTTATCTGGACTTGTTTTGTATGTTATTTATCTTGAAGTGGTGTTCCCCTTCCGATTTCCCTTATAAATATGCAAATATTTTGACTTCTTACCATCGATAAGATCTCCTCATTTTCAAATTAATAACAAAAAGTTTTGGAAATTTCTTTAGTGCAATAGCATTGTATTTTTCGGGGTGTGATTTCTATACGCTGTTGGATTTATATTAATTTAATTATTTATGAAGTTCCTTTCTTGTTTTTCTGCTAACTAAGGATATTTCAGTCTTAGAAATTTAATCTTGCTTAATTCAGCATGTAACGTGAATTGTTTATGAAGCCATTCTTATTATAGAATGGGATATTTCAAAACTGAGGGGATGAGGACTAGCTTAGTTCTTGTTTTTTGGACATAGCATTATATGGATTTAAAGGGGAAAAACACGAAATAAGTCCAGAAGTGGTTTTACAACCCAAAAAGTATATAGTTGGATCTTTTTCATAAGTTTTAATTGCAACAATAACTTTCATTCTTTCCGATGATTAGTATTGCTCCATAAGAGATTCCAGAACAAACCATTGAAGTTTTTGTTTGCAGGTTCTACAAAAGGCTTTAGAAGTTTGGGATCTGCAGGTCATCCCCCTTGATTCTCCAGTTGCAGAGCCTGCCCAGATTGATCCTGAGCTTGAGAATGCATTCATCTGTCATTTGCAGGATCATTGGTTCTGTATCAGAAAAGTGAGTGGAGAGTGGTATAATTTTGACAGTCTGTATGCAGCCCCACTGCACCTCTCAAAGTTTTACCTTTCAGCCTATTTGGACACACTAAAAGGCTCTGGTTGGAGCATTTTCCTGGTGAGAGGAAACTTCCCGAAAGAGTGCCCCATGTCATCCTCTGAAGCTTCTAATGGCTATGGGCAGTGGCTTTCACCTGAAGATGCTGAGAGGATAACTAAATCCTGCAACTCCACAAATGCTCAACCTCAGGGAACAAATTGGAATCAACAATCTTCGGCTCCATTTCTCTCAACAGAAGAAGCAGAATTGCTTTCAGAAATGGAAGACGAGGACTTGAAGGCTGCTATTGCTGCCAGTCTTATGGATTCTTCCCCGGCCCCAGCGCCATCCCCAGCCCCGGCCCCGGCCCCCACGCCATCCCCAGCCCCATCCCTATCCCCATCCCCATCCCCATCTCCATCCCCGGCCCCATCCTCTTCCCTAGCCCCAGCGCCATCCCCGGCCGTAGCTTCCCCAGCCATAGCCCACGCTGAAGCTGGCAACCTGCAGAATGAAAGCTCAAACAGCGAAAAGAAAAATGTTTGAAAAGAAAAGTACATTCTTTCGTAGATTTTATGTTTACTGGCTGAAGACAATGATCCATGTCAGGTGTAGACAGCTGACTTACATCCCTGGCGCAAGGTTATTGTACTTTGCAGCATATACATCTCCATTTAGATTCCAAATTTAGACTCACATTGTATAAACTTGAAGAAATAACCTCCCAGCTTTTCAATTGGATGATTACAGTTTTTGCATTTTGGTAATGCTTCTCATTTTCTTGCTTCATTTTCTGTGGGCTCATCCAATTCCCAGATATGATCTCCATTGCAAACGGGTTGAATAATAAATATGCCGAGTATGATTTTGTAAATGAGAGTTTGATAAAATTACTGTATTTATTCTGGTTTTAAGTTCATTTTTAAAAAAATTGAGATTTTTTTACATATATTTAAAATAAATTTTTATAATATATTACCTGTCATAAATAATGAAATTAAGAATAAATGTCTTCTGTTTTTTTCCCAAGGAGTTATGTGCATTCTTATTCTGACTTTGATGCTCTGCAAAAGAATCTTGTGATTGGCCACGGCAAAAATCTGGGCCCACAAGAACCGACCAACGAAGCAGTGTGGACGAGAATACCCTCGAGAGACCCTACTGGATACGCTTGAAAACAATGGCATCCTTATGTAAATAACAGCAATGCGAAATACCCTTTTAAAAGTTGGAGTCGCTCAAGTCAAGAGTGAAGGAGAAAACCAGGGCCGGTAATAAGAAAAGAAAAGCAGCCAACCTGAGAGCAGAGCAGTTAGTCTCTCTGTTTTCTACGCAGATTATAAATAATCGTTTGTATATAATTCCATGAAAGTAAGGCTTAGTTGCACATTTTAGAAGAAAATAAAAAGCAAGAAAAAGCCATGAGCGGCCTATGACGCTTTTAAGCTGGAAGCTATCAGGTACATGACTCTGTCTGTGGCCACCACACCAAACGCACTTTTGACAGTCATCTGTATATAAACCTAATACATTTCATATACGTGGGGCTCAATGAAAGAAAAAGTTTAGGTAAAAGGGCTAAAGAGAACCCATTGTTTCTCTTTTGCTGAGGATCATCTCAGACTCAAAGCCACATCATTTTTGGGTCTAAGAGATCTGAACTGGATCCCAGGCTGTGATTCCTGGCTCTGTATCAAATGGGCTCATCTGCAGATTCTGAAAGATTGTTCAACAGGCAAAGAACCCTTCACGAGATCCTTGGAGGAGGCCTTGGTAAGTCATCATCTTCATCATTTTGTATGAACTTCTCCCAGTTTTTGATCATGGGTTCTGTTCTTTCAATTCTTAAAACATCATAATTGTGATTGAAATTGTTATCCAGTATTGGAGTTCTTTTAGTATAAGTTTTGATTTGATTTAAATGCAAGATGAATTATGCATCCAGATAAGAACAACTCAAGATTATGAAAAATTGGTCTTTGATACAATGACAGATTTTGATCTATTTTATTTGGATTTAGGATTTATGGGTCTGATAATCCATGCTTTTGCTGGTAGTACAGTTGCAGATGTGATTCTGTGGAGGCAGAAAAATCTGACTTTGGGGATATTGTTAGTAACTCTATCTGCTTGGGTGGTGTTTGAGAAGTCTGGTTATACTCTGCTGTCACTTGTCTCAAGTGTTCTCCTCCTCCTGATGAGCATTCTCTTTCTCTGGGCTAAATCTGCAGCCATTCTCAACCGGTAAAAGAAAATTGTGCTTCTTCACTTACTTGATGTAAATTTGGTGCCTTTGTATTAGACAAGGATGATTTGAGCATCTTCATCCTGATTAACTATCAAAACCACAAATGTGTAGCTTTCATTCTGCTCAAGCTGTTTGAATTTGTTTGTATTTCTAAATAATTTCAAAATTTGAATGATCTGCATAATCCAGAATTGGGCGTTTTGACACTGCCAAAAACTTTTCAAATTGGTGCATAATTGTTTACTCGACATATTTCCTCTTCTACTGATTTTATCAGAACCTGTTCTTAATTGTGAACAGACCAGCTCCTCCCCTGCCTCAACTGCAGTTGTCAGAAGAAATGGTAAATGAAATGGCAGCTTCCATTCGCAGTCGGGTAAATGCTTTGCTCTCGGTTTCTCAAGATATTTCTCTTGGCAAGGACTCAAGATTGTTCTTCAAAGTAGCTGCATACCTCTTGCTGATTTATTTTGCTGGTGCCTTGACTGATTTCCTTACTTTGAGCTACACCAGTAAGTTTCATTTCCATTTGGGTTATGTTTAATTTCTTAAAATGAATTAAAGACATCACCAGATTCAATAATCAGTTTGTTTTTTGTAATTTTGTCTTCCTGTATGGGCAGGCCTTGTCATGGTTCTAACAATTCCAGCGCTCTATGAGAGGTGTGAAGATTATGTGGACAAATATATCATGATGGGGTACAGGAAATTGCTGCAATTGTATGTTAAACTTGATGTAGAGTATTTGAACAGATTTCAAAACTGGGTTCTGGAGAAGAAAAAACTAAGTTAATTTCTCCTTTTCTCATAATCAAATTTAAAACTTTTTAAATTTCTTTTCTTCTTGGGTTAAGGTCATGTGAGTGTTCATCTGGAGTGCCGGAGTGCGGTTGATTTTGTTTTTCTCTTTTCAAACTGATATCTTCCTCTCTTTTCTTTTCTCTTCCTTTCCCAAATTATTAATTTTTGTGCCTTGCAAGACATTTTGAGGTTTGAGTGAAGCAAATTGCAAGGAGATATTATCTGAGAAATATTGCAGAAATGTCCTGTCAGGGTAGCATGGAATTTTGTAATCTAAGCCTGAGTTTTATACCCGGAGTTGATTCTTACATGCATTTCATTTTAATTTTCGCTCGTGCAAAATATTAAGAGCACAAATAAAGTCTTCCGAAAATATCAAAGATTCTTCCTTTCACTTCCGAATGATGACTGTGGAAGTGGAAATCATCTTGCTTCTACTCATTCTCACTATCTCTGCTTCAGCTTTTGATTGATAACGAACCCCAGTAACAGGAAAGACCATTTTCTTCAAATTTTGAGCATGCTCAAGGACATACCGTGCAAAATCGGTTTGATTAGACCCCTCGCAATGCCCTATGGTTACCTCCTCAAGCTGATGAACGAAAGCAAGGTTTTGCATTTTCCAGAATTCCGTACCAAATCCAGATGCCTGAAAATATGGAAAAAGCAACAAGAATATAAAAACAATTTAATTTAAAATTACCACAAGAAAAATATGTGTGTGCATGACATGCAACATAGACTTGACATACATTTGTGTTATAAACGGTATCTGTACACATGTACAAAATTTTCAAATTAGGCATTCCTCTAAGAAGAGAGACCAGTGCTGGAACAAGGCCATCATTCAAGTTCCTAGTCCACGCTTTCAATTTACAAATATTATCTAATCTTGGTGCTGCCATGGAACCTTCCTTGAAGGCCTGCATGTTTAAACAAGAAAAATTCTTAGTTTGGAAGAGGACAAGAACATATGCTTCTACAAATTTTTCTTTCAAATGATTCAAATTGCAAAATATCTTGTTTTTAACAACAACTGGGGTCACAAGGTTAGATATAGAGTAGAGTCAACTTTACCTCAATGGTCTCCTCGCTTATAGTAAGAACTTTTACAGAGCATATGCTGCTGATTCAGGGAGGAGGAATGGAGAAAGACGTTTAATTTTAATTTTAAAATTATTTGAAAATCTGCCGATTCAAATTCATTGATAAAGAGTGTAAAGATTGAGAAAGAAAGACGCAAGATGGCAATGAAAAGCCCTCACCATAGATACAAAGATCAAGCTCTTCAACATTACATCCTACTGCATTGTGAATCCACGTATTTACTCCAAAATTAAACCTTCTTTTCTGCTTCGCTTGAAAATATAGCGCTGCAACCTATTATCACCACTATAGAACAAGTATATATCCAAAAGAATTCATCAGGATCCTCCTCACTTTGTCCTGGTAATATGGACCAAAACACACTTCCGGAACTGATAGATAACTGTCTGCATCTTTTCGAGACTTACTGGGGTTGTCTTTTTTAAATTATAAATATTATAGCCGCGCGGCTATACTCGGGGGGTTTTTAAAAAAAAGCGTATAGCCGCACGGCTATACATTTTGGACACGCGGCGCCGAATCGCTAGGCGGGTCTCCTTTTTTTTTTTTTAATAAACCGTACAGCCGCGCGGCTTTACTGTGGTCGTTTTAAATTTTTTTATTATAAATAGTAAAGCTGCGGCTTTACTGGGGTCTTTTTAAAAAAAATAGTCTAGCCGAGCGGCTATACTCGAGGGCTTTTTAGCCGCACGGCTATACTTCGGATTTTATAATATTAAAAATAGCGTTTTTGAAGTGCTATAGATAATGATATGTGGTGTAGTGAATTGTTGCAGTGGAAATCATCTTATGCTTGTGCAATCTTTTTCAAATTGCAAAATATTTTAGTAGAGAGTCAATTTTACCTTAACGGTCTCCTCGCTTATAATAAGAACTTTTGGCCAGTTTATGCTATAAAGAACCTCAAATACTCTGTCAAATTCATTCCCTTCAGGCCCTAAAAGAAGCTCTAGCTTCTTAATGCATTTGCAGGAACATGTGATCCATTTGAAAAACCTCTCGTCTAAACTCTTTCCGGTTTCAAGTAATGGAGATTACTGGAAAAGGATAGAGACGGCGATTCCAAAATGTGCCTACTCAAACACACTGATAAAGAGCGCAAAGATTGAGAAAGAAAGAGTGGTAACGGAAACGTATAGGGCCAACCAGAAATACAGACATCAAGCTCTTCAACATTACACTTCACTACTGCATTGTGAACCCAGTTGGTTAATCGAAAATGATCATCAGAATGCTGCTTTTCTGTTTCGCCCAAAAAAAAAAAACTCCAGCTCATGCAGAGACGCTGCAACCTATTTTCACCACGACAACAAGTATCTATCCCAGGAACTCATCATCCTCACTTTATACTGTCGTTTTTGTATATTCCCCACCACCAACTTGGACGAAAATCCACTACCGGAACTGATAGATGCAATTGTCTGCAAGATTATTTTTGAGTGCGGTTTGGACTAATTTTTTCTTTTCAAAACTATGTCTTCGTCTCTATTTTTTTTTTCCTTCCCCATATTATTAATTTCTGTGCAGAAATGTCATGTAAAGGTAGGATGAAATTTTGTAATATAAGTGAGTTTTATACCAAGAGTTGATCCTTACATTACATGCATCGTCATTTTACCTTCGACTCGTGCAAACTATCAAGGACATACATAAAGTTTTCCAAAAATATCAAAGATTCTTCCTTTTCTTACATCCTAGAAAGCCAATGACAACTGTGGCAGTGGAAATCATCTTGCTCCTACTCACCATCCTTGCTACAACTTCGAATTGCGTATCTTCAAAATGAAGAAGATTGACCATTTTCTTCAAATTTTGAGCATGCTCGAGGATATACCTTGCAAACTCGAGTTCATTAGACACGTTGTTGGGATACTCTATGGTTACCTCCTTCAGCTGATGAAGAAAAGCAAGGTTCTGTAGTTTCCAGTATTCTATACCAAAGCCAGCTGACTGAAATATACAAAAGGCAACAATCATAGACGCATTAATTTAAAATTTACCACAAGAAAAAGTATGTGTGTGCATGAGAGGGAGAACAATAGGCAACATAGACTTTACTTACAGTTTGGGCATCCCGGCTCAGTGAGCTAGTAGTCTTCATGGACAAAAAATTCAAATTAGGCATTCCTTTGAGAAGAGAGGCCACAGCTGGAACAAGGTCATCATTCAAGCTCGTAAAATGCACAGTCAAGTTACAAATATTATCTAATATTGGTACTGCCGTGGAACCATCCTTGAAAATAGCCTGCATGTTTTTCACGAAAAAATCATAGTTTAGAAAGAGGAAAATAACCTATGTTTTCACAATTTTTTTTTTGTTCTTTCAAATGATTCAAATTGCAAAAGGTCTGAATGATAGATTTTTATTACCTTAATGGTCCTCTCGTTTATAATAAGATCTTTTGCCGAGCATATACTGCAAAGAACCTTGTCAAGTTCATTTACCCAAGGGTCTAAAAAAAGCTGAACTTTTTCCAAACTCTTTAGTTTTCCCAGATTTGGGCTATACCTCCCATTGCTGCTGTTCCAGTTCAAGTTTTTAAGATTTGGAGCAAAAATCTTCAGTGAATTGCTGCTTGTTTCTTGATAGCTATGAAACCATAGACATATATCTATCCCTTCAAGCTTCTCACCAGAGATATTCACATGCAAGATGTCATTTTGAATGAAACCATGAAAGTATTCCAAAGACGAACTTTCAATGGTGATATTTCGTATCCCTTGAATATCAACAAGCTCTAACTGCTTAATGCATTTGCAGCAACATGTGATCCATTTGAAAAACCTCTCGTCTTCTATTTTAACTAATACCAGTTTCAAGTAACGGAGATTACTAGGAATTGATAGAGACGGCGTTTTGAAAATTACCATACTCAAACGCACTGATAAAGAGCGCAAAGATTGAGGAAGAAAGGGTGGCAACGAAAACGAGGGCACACCAGAAATACAAAGATCAAGCTCTTCAACATTACACCTTAGTGCATTATGAATCCACGTAATGACTCGAAAATAATCCTGCGTTGCTCTTCTGGTTAAAGAGAAATTCCAATCCATGCAGAAGCGCTGCATCCTGTTATCACCACGACATAACAAGTATCTTTCCATAGAACTCATCAGCCTCAGATTATGCACGTAGTTTTCCCGCCGGCCCAGCCAATGCCAATGTGAGCGAAAATCTACTACCGGAACTGATAGATGTAATTGTCTGCATCTTTTCGAGACGGCACCCACTCGAGTGAGGTCTTTGAAAGTGAGCAAGGAAAGGATATGATGAGCAACTTCATCTGGAAGATCACTGAATCTGTCTGACGTCACACATTCTGAACAATTTCCTTGAGCTTCACAGCTTGCAGATGCCCCCAGCAACTTACGCTTGCGCCCCATAGACTGTTGTTGAGGACGGTGTTGGAGCTACAAGATATTTCCTTCTTCTGCAACAACTTATCATAACCTAACCAGCGGCAATTTCACCTTTTGTGTGTCCTCATTAAGTAAGAGCATTTGTACGTATTTCTATTGTAGCACAATTCAAACTATTTACCTGTTTTAGTCCTCATTAAATAAGGTGTCTTCGTTAAATAAGGTTATATCCATGATTGGTCCACTAGAAATCCTCATCAAATACCGTTACAATCATGATTGATGTTACCAATCCGACGTCTAGGATCTTTCATCTCTCCTCATTCAACATTTTTTATTATTTAAGAAATCAAGAATTATTCATAATTACTACTACAAAAATTAAAACAGATGACGGGAAAAAACCGTTGTATTTTGCCTTTGAAAACCGTCGTTAAATCGACCGCCATCTTTTTGAATGTCAAACTATGATGGTAAATCACCATCATCTATTATATCCAAAGAGGTCAGTTTTGAAAGAAAACGACGTCTATTAACTCTAAAGATGATAGTTTTATTAAAAAATTGTTGTTTATTATCTGTAAAAATGATGTAGTGATTTTACACATTAGCTTCTTTTTTTTTCTTTTTTTTTCCAACAGTTCTCTACAACGATTTTAACTAGAAAAACAATCATAATGCTTTCTGAACAATAAATTCAGGTCCAAATCTTCTATTACCCACACCATACATATATATACTAAAATTTTGTTTCTTTCATAAAACTTGAAGATTCAATAGTAATTACATAGTTTTACCAATCTTGATTCCTACTATATCCATACAAAATACCATATCCATATAATTAACCTATAATTACAAAATACCATATCCAAAGCATTAACCTATAGTTGTTGTATCTCCCACAATTTGTACTTGTTCTCCACATTCAGTTGTCCTCCTGGAGTAGTGTTCTTAGTCATCTTGGTCAAATGGATCTTCAATTGATACAATAGGGTACTACTCACAAATGGCTTGTAATGGTCCTTGAGAGCATTTCTTGAGATGTTTTGGGAACCATCATTTTTCTGTGCAGACAAGCCAAACATAGAAGATATATTAACAGAAAACTCACCTCTTCCTTGAAGTTCATGTCATAGGTTTTATCTTATCCATAAAACTCAGATGCAACAACATCCATTCCAATGACAACCTGAAGAGAAAACAACAAGAATTTTCCCTCAATACTCTTGCAATGTCATCAAATTTTCTTTGTACAAAAACCTTGGTTTGAAAAATAAACCTACTTTGCCTGTGTATCCAGCCTTTTCAATGGCTGTCTTGAGCAATTCAAGACCTTCTTTACATTTCAGTAGAGAGATGTGAAAGGAAAAACAAGGAATAATAGCAACTTCGGTTAAATGATTAGGTTTCATCAAACTATTGTTAACCTGAATATTAGGTGCAAATCCACCTTCGTCACCAACATTAGTTGCATCTTGACCATATTTCTTCTTAATCACAGCCTAAAGAGAACAAAATAGTGAGAGAAAAAATGCCCACACAATTCCTTGCTTGCCACTCAAAAATCAGAATTGTCAAAAGACCAATCTAGATTACTAAAATATTATGATTCCAAGTACCCTAAACTATCCACGTTGTAACTGAAACATAGTAGAAATCTCAATCTGGATTATAAATAGAATTTGAAATGAAACCAACCTCAAAGCCTATGGAAGACATAGCCAACCATTTGAGAAGTAAGGTAGATACTCAAAAAATTTATCATCAATTCCCGAGCACAATAAGGGACAGAGGACACAAACGAAACGTAATCCCTCATTATGTATCGTAGAAGAGAAGGATAAGGACATACCTTCGTGAGAATTGGCATGCTCCTGCTTTTACTGACACAACAAACATATGGTTTGAGGCTATGAGACTAAAGACCATATATTGTTATAACCCACTACTGTTATCAAGCCAATTTGAAATAGAGCAACAATTTCCTAATATATACAGAATGCTATTTGGTAACTAATAACTCTGGGGAGAATAAACTCGATATAAAACCCAACTGAAATTCGGGGCCGAACATAATTAAAATAAAAACAAAAGTAAAAAATTCATAAGAAAAAACTAAAATAATAAGTGGTTGTATTCATTTGGGATTTTAAAAGACTATTTTGGGATAAATAAGACTTTTAAATAATCTAAACAAGTCTTGTGGTATTCCATAGACTATTACCCTTCGTTTGGATAAAGGAATTGAAAATTGCATAGAATTATAAAATAACGGAATTTAGATTTCCATCATTTCAATTCTCACAATTGAAGATTTCAGTGTTTGAATTTATTTATGCCGAATTTTGTAAATTGCACTATGAAAATTGTGAAATGACGCCTATTTTTGTTGAAATTAAACTCGGGAATTTAATGCCCCAATTTCCACGATTTTTTTCGCGCTTCATTTAATAAGTTTCTCGCTTGAGTTGCCAAACAAGGGATTTCAAACTGGGTTCTTGAGAAGAAAAAACTAAAGTTGACATATACTCTCTCTCTCTCTCTACACAATCTGCAAATAATGGAGTGTGTATGTGTGTGTCCATGCACACGTGTTTTTAGACAAATTTGAAGTGTCGGCAGGTGAAACAAAGTTCTCATTTTAGGGTATTTTGGGGCGGCTAAGGTTTTTGGTTCATAAAGTTTCAAGCTTTCCAGCCTCCAGTTTGTGGCCACAGAGTTGGGGGGCTAGAGATCTTTGGTGGGCATGCATCTGATCTTTGCTGTTGTGGATAGTGCCTTTGGTTGGGCTGGGAGGTCTAATTATAGACAGATTTGATTCATTTCCTTGGCCAGCCATGGCTCATGTAAGGCCCAGTTAATTAATTTTTTGCAATGGAATATCACTACCTTCTAAATTTCTCAGAAAATCTTTGATTTGACAAGCCACCTGTTAATGTCCCCTTGTATTATTCACTGGGATATGCTTGCCTCACTACATAGAACTGTCTTGTTGCATTTGTATTTTTAAAAAAAAAAATTAATGTACTTATGTTTTCTACTTATTTTCTTCTACTTATTTTTTCTTCTTATCATTCACTTTTATTATTGAGAAGAAAACAAAAGAGTGAAATCTCATGTCCGCGAACGTCTATCTAGCCCATACCCAACTTATTTTTATAGGTGTTTCCCATTGTTTATTGTTTATTTTTTGGAAACAGTAGGATTCACGTGCAAAAACTCATAATACATACAGGAAGAACCCAGTCCCAAATGAAGGTTCTTGCAATACAGAAACTCTAAAAAACATAAACAAATAGGAACAAACATTACAACTTGAATCCCAACTCACTTGGAGTTACTGATGAGAAGGACACATACCCATTGGAATCTTTTTTTATTTTATTCATTTATCCATTTTGATAGGCTTGGGTACAGATTATAAACCCAATTTGGGAAGTCCCCACAAGCACGAAGGGTTAGACTGCACTTAGGTTTTCCTTTTCTTGTTGATCAGAGAACAAATTGGTCATTTGAATTCCATAATCATATTCCAAAACATCAATTGCAACTTGCAAGTGCATTTTATATACAAAACAGCAAACATCACTCTGAAACCCTTGGATGGAGCAAAACCCTAGGAACCCAATTTACTTTTTCTCCCCAACTAATATTATTAATCAAAGCCAAATCCAAAGTCCAGCCTATAGCCAAGCCCATTAGCCCAACTCTCCAATGTTAACCACAATTACCAAACCATCATAGTACTTTGTTTATAAACACCTTTATAGGAGTGTGGATTTTCGATGTGAGATTTTCCCAAAGGGCATCTCAAAAGATAAGCTTACAGAGAAATCCATATTTTTTATTGTTGGTGTATATATTTAAAGAGTATAGCTGTGCAGCTATACTCTATAAATAGAATATTTTAAAAGTACTCTATAAATATAATATTTTAACGGTATAACCGGGCGGCTAGTGTTATTTCTTCAAGTGATATTAGTGCTCAAAATGCTCGAATAGATTAATTTCTTTTTTATATAATTTTTTAAGAATTCCTAGAATACCATATAAAGAAATGAGAATATCTATATATATATATATAACAGTTAAATGTTAAATCTCTCGGTTTATTATTTGCATTAACACGTCCTATCGAGTAATGGTTAACTTAACTTACTTCATGCTGGATTTGGTTTTCATCTTATTAAGGTAAAAATTGTTACCCATTTGCCTTGCTTTGCCTTATTACACGAGGTAGTGTGTATTCATAACAAGTGGTCTGTTGAATTATTGATCAAGTATTAAATTTGCCGATTGGCAACTTCCCTTTTTATTTTTCTCTTTAATTTCCAAGTACAACGTCAATTTTTTATTTTATTTTTTTTATAGTACAAGCAATAATCTAAAGGGGAGGGGGATTTCTCTCTCACACACACACAACTATGATGTCGTGGTTCGAACATGAGACCTCTGATTTGAAAGTCATTGCCCTTTTCCACTGAGCTAGACCCTGTTAACTTGTATAATAAACAGTAGATATACATATGATTTTCTGTATTTGTTTATAAATGCAAACTACCATTAAACACATGTACTAAAGCATAAAACTGCACATGTCTTTAAGGGAAGATATTTTC